CAATAGTGCCAGTGTAGTTCATACCGAGCCCACGGGGATTCTTACAGCGGCAAAAGAAATTACCAGAAACAATATCACTGGAAGAAATATCTCATCTAACAGATAGCAGGCAACACTACTCACACTTAATACGAATTTACTCAGGGATAGTACTAAAATGACACGAAGCGCTGGCAGAAGTATCCATCAACAACGTGGTCACCTTAAGATGGATCAAAGGTCACGGAAGACAGCCAACCAAATACTTTTTGGACCTGGCCCTTCCAATGGACTGACAATATCGGTAGTAACAAATCTAATTTAAGAACACTCCCTTGTGAAATTTAATGTTGCCTGGGAGCTTTCAGCAGACACATACTTGACTATGATTAGAAAGAATCTGCGCCTGATCCCAGACATTCTGACTGGTCATTGCTAATTACGGATGCATCTCCATAACATAGGACTGTCAGAATCCGCACTTTACGGGGGTGTGAACAAGAAGATGAGAGCATCGAGCATATCCTCTACGATTGTCAACGTTCCCATTTAATAGTTTGTGTTATCGTTAACTACATCAAATCTGTAGACTGGTTGACGATCTAAGAGGGGCCCATCAATTTAAGAAAATGCACAATGGCTCTAGCGAGGCCTAAGTATCCTGGGGAAACCCACTCTCCACATGTTATAGATAGAGAGTAAAGAAAGGTTATATTAAAATTGCTTATTGATCTTGATTGACCAGATTGTAATTGTACTAAAATACTCTATTTGGATAATAAAGAAAAAACTTGGAAATGTATAAGCATGTGTAAAAAATTGTAAAATATAAAAAAAAAACTTCCCTCGATATAGAAATTGTAAAAACAGGGAACGCCTAAGTACCTAAATTTTAATAATTTTAAATTAAAACCACCAAGCCAAAAACCCCTTTTTACATTTCTCTCTCCATCGATCTTCCTCTTGATCCCACCCGAAATCTCACTTCGCGTCCACTCGGTATTCTTCGTCAAGTTCACCGTTATTGAACAATAAGGAAAGGCTGCTTTTAAAATGGTCCAGTTGCACAAACCAAAAGAACGATTTTTATTATCTCCATTCAAGGGAGACCTTTTTTTAATAAATGCTATTCCTTTCAACGCCATATTGAATTTTTAAAAACTTATTTAGGATCTGTTATTTTTGGCTTCTAAAATTCTCAGATATCAATTTTGGTCGAAATGTGCTGACTTTAAAAATAAAAGTTTTTTTAAACCGCTCACCCTGTATATAACTGATCGGAAGCATAACTGGTTCTGAGCCAGAAAGGAACCTTAACTGCATACTAAATTTGAAGTTTTTCTATTAAATCGTTTTTGAGCTAACGCGCCAACAGACAGACCGATGGAATGGGAGAACATGTTTTTCGTAATCTAGGGACCATAAAACGTGAAAATCTGAAATAATCTCGGAAGGTGACCTTTTCACGATTACAATACTTCCCTTTTATAGAGGGAAGTAAAAATTGGAAAATAAAAAATATTTATTTATAATGAAGACTTAAATACTTAAATTTCGATATAGTGTAAAATTTTAATCAAAATATGTTGATAGAAAAGAAAAAATATGCTCAAGTTTAAATCATAACACTTGTTAAATGATTTTGATTTACTTTACTCAATAAATTGGTGCTAAATAAAATGTTTATTTTAATTTTTTAATTTATTGTTTGATTATGGATTTGTACGAACTTTTCGGGTCGGTGGTGTAGCCGTCTAACGCGCTTATTTTCATTTATAGGCAAGTTTATGGTCAGAGACTGCCGGGCTTCGAATCCCGGAGAAGACCATGTGGATTTTTAATTAAATTGCGTGGTTCGGTATAGGATTTGATGTGTGCCGTATTAATAGAAATTCAATTTCTGTTGGTATGACATGCAGATTATAAAAATCGCCATGCATTACCGTCTCGATGATGGTGGGTGAGGTTTTCTGGGTTTTCCTCACCTGTAAGTCAAATGGCACCATCAATCATCTTTAAGTCGCCCCGGAGCGCCACGGCAAATAATAATAATAACCGTCCCTTTCTCCCCACAAGCTCAGCTTGCGGGGTTAAAATTCACTTGTAAGAGGGTGAATTAGGGAGAGTATTATTATTATTTTTATCAATAATTGTTTGATGAAATGTAAGATAAACTTTTTTAAAGATCATTTTGAGACACACTTTATTCTATTCTACTATCTACCTTAACAGAGTATTTTGGTTTAGACTATTTTTTAACGGTCACAGTATCAAATTTCAAATAAATTAGGTATTTACCTCAACAATCGGTATTGTCTTAAAGATGCGACAATTACTTTAAACACCCGGTAGTTACATATCAATTGAAAAACAATGAGAACCGTGATGCAGTTACGTTCCAATTAGTACTTATAATTTCACAAAAGTATTTCATTTGCATTCGTTGCGCAGCTTTGTATTACAGATCAAAGTGAAACTGTAGTAGGTAATTACTATCTATTACTAAAATCGTGCATCGGACCGAAAAATGCGTATTGTTTGAATTAATAGAGTTAATGGGCGAAAAACGGCCATGTTTGCGAAATAGGTCAAACTGATTCGAGCCATACGGTAACAAATCAACGAAAGTTATCACATCAAATCGATCAGTTCGTAGATTGTAAATCTTTATATCGTCTTCTTCACTTTAGTAGATGAGATAGGAGGAGAGCAGACCATTTTTGTAACATAACCTCAAAAATAAACAATATTCCAAGGGGTTCTCGTGTTCTACGGTTCTCTGTATCTGTAACGTGTGGAGGGTGGGTTACTCCCACGGCACTTAGGCCTCATTAGGCCCATTGTGCATCTTCCTGAGATGATAGGCACCTCCTAGCTCGTGAGCCAGCCTACAGATTTTATGTAGTTGACAACGTCGCCAAGAGGTGCTTCTCTTATATCGGCCGGTGTTAGCCGATACTCGCCGAACACAAATCTTCTAATAAATGAGAACGTCGGGCAATCGTAATATATATGCTCGATGGTCTCATCTTCTTGTTCGCACCCTCTGCAGAGTGCTGATTCTGACAGCCCCATGATATGGAGATGCTTTCGTACTTGGCAATGACCAGTCAGAATGCCTGTGACTAGGCGCAGATTCTGTCTAATCATAGTCAAGTATTTGTTTGCTGCAGTGTTGTTAGGATAACTTAAGAGCTCCCTGGCAACTCTGCAGTTTCTTGTTTCATCACATCTTTTCTTGAATTTCACAAGGGAATGTTCTTTGATTAGGTCTGTCACTACCGATTTTGTCAGGCCAATAGAAGGGCTGCTTTCTTGGCTAGTGAATCAGCATGACGGTTACCTTTCGATGTGGCGTGACCTTTGATCCATCTTAAGGTGACCACATTGTTGATAGATACTTCGGCCAAAGCTTCGTGACATTCTAGTGCTAACCCTGAGTAAATTCGTGGTCTGTTCAGGGTGAGTAGTGCTTGTCTGCTATCTGTATAGATGAGCATGTTCCTTCCAGTGATATTGTTTCTGGTTATTTCTTTTGCTGCTATGAGAATACCCGTACTCTGTTTGAACTACACTGGCACTATTGCTTACAGCTTATTTTATGTTTAGGTTTAAGAATCTGGAGTATATGCCATATCCTGAGCCTTGTTGTTGATGTAAATATCAAGGGGAGTGAGACTAAGAATGACTTCCATGGCCCTGGTCGGTGTTGTTTTCATGGCTCCTGTTATGTTGAGACATGCTGTTCTTTGAATTTGTTCTAGCTTACGGATAGCTGTTAATTTTTGGGTTTTCGGTACCCAGACAACTGCACCGTATGTTAGCATAGGTCTTATGATAGATGTGTAAGTCCATGAGACGAGTCTGCGGCATTGTTCATAAGCAATGTATTATGCTCTTTTAACTCTATTTTCTAAATGCGAGTTCCATGTTAACTTGCTGTCAAAGATGAGACCTAGGTACTTCACCTCTGTTGCAACGTTTAGTTTTGTGTTTAGGAGTTCTGGAGGTTTTAATTCCATTTTCATCCTTTTCCTTAGGATTGATAGACAGTGAATAGTACTTGCACCACTGTTCGATAATTTTTAGAGCTACTTGCATTCGTTCGCAGAGTATGTTCTCAAAATTCCCTGTTTGCAGAATGACCAGGTCATCTGCATATGGTACTGTGTAGTGACTGTCATTATTTAGGCTGCTGATGAGGGTGTCCTACGGTTGTAGGAACGTTAAAGAAGCATCTACAGCCTCGTAAACGAAGAAGTGACTCAGGACCATCTTCGGTTGAGGATATGGTTGAAGAAGCTTCTGGTAACTGGACGTAGGACCATTGACGAAGAGGATACAGAAATGTCGTATTTAACATACAGCATGCGCAGTATCAGCGCCAAAGGGAGCCAAGCTTACATTTGTTATTATTTGTTCGATTTAAATGAGACAAATGGTAGTATTCAATATAAAATGTAAAATAATATGATAAATTATGTCAACAATTTCGCCCTTAATAAAGCAGAATAAGGATTATAGGAAGAAAGCAACCAGGGGCCCGGATGGGACGATTATGCTTTTCAACTACTTTCAACTCCTTTATGTTTGTGAGTTTTATGTCAATATCAATTTGTCAATATCGTCTGTTTGTCCTTATGATGCAACAATTTTATTGATTTGAATTTACGCAGATCTCTTATAACTCTTGACTCATTGATATTAATAAAAGAAATGATTACTATTATTATAATCTCATTAATTTAATATAATTTCACCATCAAAAACTGTTTTTAAACAATCATTATGAATAATGAAATTAATTATTTTAAAATTACGGATTTTAGTTCCAACGCAACGTACTGCCAGCTTCTTAAATTTTCAGACTCCGTCTCTACTATTGGCCTTGTCACTTAAACGGTATTCACAACACAATCTCTTAATTACAATTATTTCCAGATTTACCGATAAACAAACCGAAAAAACACCGATTATCAACCATGAAAACCAATTATAGCTGACCCAGTACGCTGAAAAACATGAAAATCAAGCACTACCCCGGCAAAGCTGTGGTCACTGACCCAGCATGGCTGGAACTAGACATACCGAACGCCTCTAGAGGCAAAAAGTATGAAGCCAACTGGGAAGATGCTCAAAAATCTTTATCCAACCATAGTTCCGCTTCAAATTCTTGGGACAAATATAGTCACAAGAGTTTCGAAGGCACCGTCTCCTCGAGATTAGGGCAGTATCAAAGTATTTTAGATGAAATTAAAAAAGACAATGAAGATCACTATAAACCTAGAAGTAATAAAGGAAGTGTCAGATTAAAATACCACAGTGATAAATGTTTATCCAGGATCAATGCTAAAAACATGACAGATATAGATGAAGAATTAGCGAAATACTTCTTGCCTCCGAATCCTAAAAAAGAATTAGATGTACCTAGACCTAAACCAAGAAAAAAGCTATTAGATTTGCAACAGCAGAAAAGTTTTGAAGATATGCAAAAGCAGCTAAAGAAAACTGTAAGGTTTGACGAGATTTGTACGGAAATAACCAACGGAACGAAAGATTTAGAACAAGAAGACGTATCAGATAGTGAAGAAGTAGCTCAAGAAAGAGTTAACACATGGGTAGATGATCAAAATAAATATCTCTTGACCTCTGATAGCGAGAAGAAAGTAGCGACAGTTAAAAGAGCCGATAGCGGGTATTACGAACATTTTGAAAAACCCAGACAAAGGTTACCACCTAAAAATATCTATCCTTCATCGACGTCTTCCTCTTCTTCTTCAAGCCCCAGATATTCATTTGAAACTAAGACTTCATCGACTTCTACAGATAGTGATTACAACGAAATATACAGCCTGTATAAAGATGGATCGTCTCCAAAGCACAAAATTGTGATACCCCAAGTGAAGACTCGTGAAAAAACAGTTTCTCCTCCGCTTCAGAGAGGAGGTTGTGATTCGAATGATTTTGTGATACCGAGACCGAAATTGATCGTGCCTGTTCATACTTACGCGGTTAGAAAGAGAAGGACCGGAAATATTTTATCGGAGTGTTTAGATGCTGATAGTGGTACTAAGAAGAAGAGCTTGCAGTTGGATAAAAGGAAACAAGGTGAGTTTTTAAACTAGGTCATTTTTAAAAAGTTTGGAAATTGATTATTAAAAATATATATGATAATATGAAAATAGATAATAAATAATAGATCTATGAAGCACTGAGATTTATAGAATATACAGTTTGCTCTAAAACGTTTTATACAAAATGGTAAAAAGTTTTCTCTTATATTTCACGAAAAAAAGTTCCGCATCACTTGGGTATCCATAATCATATAGGTGATATACAGGAAAAATAAAAAATAATGATTTATAATATAAAAACACTTTTAAATTTCAATATAGAGCAAAATATTAATTAAAATGTTAATAGGAATTGCTCTTATTATTAAGTGATTTCGATTTACTTTATTCAAAACCAATGCTAAAATATATTGGATTTTTTTTTAATTTTACAAATTTCTGTTAAACAACAATTAGGCACAAATCTGGTTTAATTTGCTTCCCTTTGGTTGTAGAAGGACCAATTTTTGATTTTTTATTATCTACTTTACAGAAAACTTCTGAATAAAATTCAAATAATATTTAATGTATTTAATTTGACATTAATTTAACTACTGCATCACATAATATTACTATTTGCCAAAAATACATAGTTGGAAATTTTGAGATACACATTTTTCTAGTGGAGTATTGTAACTTTTATTTATTTCCACCAAGATACTAATTTATTTTATCACCTAATTTATTTGTTTTCTGTACAACAATAATTTATATCTCTTTACTAACAAACTAATTTATGTTGACAACGATCTCTAAATTTGACTGCTCCAACAGCAGAACAGCCTATTTATACACATAAGTTTTTAGAATGTTCTAAACGTTTTGAGACTAAGAATTAGCTCTCCCACCATAACCATACATTGACAGATCCACTATTTTTGTTGTATCTATGTTTCAACACAGATCCAGTATTTTCTAGAATTAATGATTTACTTTGACTAGTGGTGAAGGGAAAATGGATAATGCAAAGGGACCAAACAAGACACTTTAAATTATTAGAGCAGGACCGGACTGGTCGAAAATGGCTCGCATAACAGTATACAATTTTTTTTGAACTGTTTGACTATACTTAAGTTTCTATATCTCTAGAAATTATGGTGAGAAATGTTTCTCTACGAAGTGATTTTAGTTAAAATATAAATTGAACGATAACCAGAGCTAAGTTCTGAAAGAGATTTGTTCTAACTAATACTGATTTTCGTCATTTGTACGAACCAGAACTAAGGCATGTTATGAAAATTTAAAATGTAACACTTTTCCTAAAAATTTTCCGTTACGGTTCACTTTAGGGAAATCACGAATAGAACAAAAATCATAGTGATAAGGAATTTTACTTTTCCAATCCCAAATAATTGAGATATTAATGTAAAAAACGACACACCATAAAGTATCCCATCAGAGGCTTCGACTAATTCCCAAAATTTATTCACCGCAGGATAGATTGAAGCTTAAGTTTAAAAGTTGGTGTTTTTCTTTTTATCCATTTTTGAGTTTTCAAAATTCGAAATTAATACTGTTCCTTAAATATCTGGAGTACGATCCATTTTAGGGAAATTACATATAAAACAAAAATTAGAGAATGGCATCACAAGCAACTTTTGTTTGAACAATTGTCTTAAATATTCGAATTTTGCACTTTTTTCTTTCTTGAATAGGACCATTTTAGAAAAATTATGTATACAACAAAAATTATGGAGAATAACATCACAAGTAGCTTCTATTTGACACATTTTCTTCTCCAAGCGTAAATATCAGATATATTCCATAAAGTAGAAAGAAAAACTACCCCCTATAAACTACCTCCCAGATGCTGCGACTATGCCCAAAATCCGATCAACTCATTAGAGGTTGGATTAAAGCTTAAGTATAAAATTGAGTGTTTTTCTCTTTATCCGTTCATGAGTTATTGAGTATTCACACACACACACAAATGTTAAAAAGAGAAAGACAATATCTGAATTATTTTGAATCTGGAAAATGTGGAGTTGTCGTTATGATTAGAAATATATTATACAGGCCCGTTTTAAGGAATGTGCATAAATAAACGGTTAAAATGAAATTGTTTTTATTTCATTAAAATTGAATGGGTTTAAAATAATGTACCTCAAAACTTTTATTACACATAAAAATGTGTGTATTCTAATTTAGGATTAAATAAAAATTAGTTTTCCTGAGTTGACTATGCGAAACAGTAACAAAAGCCATCGAACACGAGGCTAATAACTACGTTAGGTTTATTTGTATTAAGATAAAAATATTGGTTATTCTTCAGATGTAGATGAGCTTTGTCTGACCTTACAATCTTCATATATAGTGGGGCTGCTATTGATCATAAGTTACTTTTATCAAATTAAACCTCCATAAAAAAATCATTAATCGTGAGTTTCCAGATTTGTAATTCAAAGTGATTATTATACGATGATGATTATCATTATTATTTATATACCTAGTATTTATCTAAATACCAACACATTTGCATGAAGGTATCTTATATCAAGTAGTAATTATTTAAATTTTAGGTCAAGTACAATCTTAACACCGCAAAGTATTCAATTCAAAACAGATATCTAACCTCAATTTTCACCTTGGGAAATTAATAAGTTTACATCCGTAATTCGATCAGTCAGTTTGGATCATGTTAAAATAAGAAATCCCCTATACGGAATAAAGTTTTTATTCTTTATTTACGATAATTTGCATTATTTTTCACAATGAAAGCATAGTTTTTATTTACTAGTTTATTACATAAATAATATATGTGGGAAGTCTAACAAAGTTTTCTATCTAACAGCTTATAGAAATTTTATTTTATTTATCATTATAACTTTTAGAAAAAAAAAAAACAAAATAACTCGTTGGCCTCCTAACTGGTCCTAATGCCTAAAAACTCCTGCACTTCCCGACTAATACAAGACCCGGATTTTGATTTTTTTATTCTATATCTTTCTTCTTTGTATGGCCAGCGTGGTCATCACCTAAATCTTGGTGATTGTTTTGTTTCTGCTGTTTAATTTTCTTATTTATCAGTTTTTTTATCACACTATATAATAATAATATTTATTTTCTCAATAGACATAATAAATAGATAAATTAGATATTGCATATTAAAGATTATAATGCTTAATAGAAATTTTCTTAACAATCTTTAAAATTTTGGTTAGTTTTGATATCTTTTATCACTTGTAATAAACGATTGTATACTTGTAAACCCAAGACTGTTAGAGAGTTAGTTGAAACTTTATACTCGTATTTTTGCTATGAAACAGATCTATTAAATAGTAATTTCTTATTATTAAAATTACAGATTGAGCATTCCACGCCAAATCGAAGCGGTACAGCTGAGGTACCTTGGTAAACAATTAAGTAGTAATAATGCTCATTTTGATATTTCATACCTTACTGTGAAACAGCCGCAAGTTGCGTTGTTAGTCTATCAGTTAGTGGCAGGTTTATGTGCCCCATTTTCGCATACAAGCCTCGAAGAGGGTTGAAAAGTACATCGATTTTAAATAGAATGAAAGGACATTTACGAGTGGCTGCTGGGGATAACACATGGAAAATTCGATTTTCCCTAACAAAAACAAAAGGTTATTTGTTGCCCATTTTTCCACACAAGCCGTTTTCACTATATGATTAATTAATAGAACTAGGCTTCGGAAAACCAAAGGCTTTAATGTTGCAGGTGGAAAAAATCGAGATTTTGCCCGATTTTTCCACACAATCCCATCGAATGTATGAAAACGTACGTCGTCACTAGTCCGAAAAACATATTTTCTTGAATGACCCGAATGTATAAGTGCATTTTGGGGTCGGAAAATTTTTCTGATAAGGAAAATCTAATTTTTCATGTGTTATCCCCAAGAGCCTCTCGTAAATTTTCTTTTATTCTACTCAATATCGATGTTCTTTTCAATCCTCTTCGAGGCTTGTATGCGAAAAAGGGGCACCTAAATAGGTCACTATCTGACGGTCTATGTAACAGAGTAACTTTTGGAAAGTATATTAACCGCTTAATGAAAAAACAAACTTTACTACATTTCAGCTGGCGCATGCAACCGTTTCGCTTTTTTTATTTCTTTTCTGTAAATGTTTAATTAGTTATTAGGTCAACGTTAAGATATGTCATCAGATCTTTTAGAATCATGTCGAAAGAAACTGTTTTAAATCAAATACAATCAATTTGTTGCTAATATTTTTTATTATTTTATTAGTATTTTCGACTTCAACAACTTAAGCCATTAGCATGTTCTGCGTAAATTATGTATGGCTAGTACTCTAATATTCCATAGTGTAGGATTGCTATTATTCTAATATTTTTACTAGCCTACAGACAGGACTTGTTACTGTTTTCCAGCACCACTTAAGGAACTGCCCAGAGTACCATCTCGACCTTTTTAGATCTTTTGTGGATATCCTTTAAAGGTTGTTTAGAATACCTTGTGTAGTTGGGTCCTCTGTAGTAGACTCCATATACTGGGAAGTAGTGCTCCGGTGTAGCTAGTTGACCTTGGTTTTTTCTCTCCAAGTGTAAGTAGTCTCAGTCTTGGTAGACCTTCGCAACAGCACAATACGAGTACTGCAATATCCTGGTCTACCGACGAAATCAGCACAAGGTTTCATTCTGTCAGGCCGATGTTATACATACGTTTGTTAAGCATACAATGTTCTGTTAATAGGCCTACTAGAACTCTAGTATTTTTCCTATTATGGCTTAGTAGATACTTGGTAAGTTTTGGCGATGGTCCTTTTAAGAACTCTTTGGACTGTCGCTGCCCTGGTTAATTTTTTTCAGGATTCCTGAGATTTTTTAACATCCACTGCTTTGTGCATATTCTGATGGCTGTCTTTGTAAAACCACAGAAGGGTTCTGGGCCAATGAGAACCTTTGAGGTTCCTTATTGAGCTAGTAAATCAGTCTCTATATTGCCCTTATGACCTCTATGGCCTGGTATCTAGGCTAGGGTTAATCTGTTTTGACTACCCAGCTCTGTTAAG